AAGTTTGTAATATACTTTAATTAAAAATTCTCATTAGTATTGTAAGAAAACACTTATTTTACCTGGTCAAAAACAGCTCTGTTTTCAGCACGCCGTTTCAGTGCATATGACTTTAAATGATAATGAGCTTTGCTCACCCCGCCTCTCTGTTCTGTGCATACACCATTTGTAACACAATAACCATAACGCGTTGTTCATTATAGGCGTGGGATTATGAATTATATTGAGAACGTCACATAGAAAACATGCCGTAATGTACCCTGAGTGTAAACCTTAGACGCATTCATCGTGAAGCGTGCAGCTAGCGATTTGCAAAGATTAATATAAATATTAATATAAAGTTTAATAAAACGTTACACTCACTTCAGTTGTTCTAGAGGTTCAGCAGGAACACGGATAGCTGGTACCGATCCTTTTTTCATGAGCAGCTTCTTAGCAAACCAGCTTTATACTGACCCTCGTTTATAAAGCAGTCTGGTGTGTGGAATGATTCGCGCAAACATGAAAGCATTGACGTTGCTCGTGGGGAATATTCCCTTCGAAAACAAACTCAGCCACTGCGTCTTCAGCGGTTCGTATTTAGGAACATTAAAATGACTGCTGTGTTCGTTATTACACCCAAGAACAGAACACCACAATCGCTTAAGCGCCATTCTGCTCATAGACAGTGCTCCAGCGTATCAACAATGACCGCGCCGGTCCGCGCGGACTATGATTGACAGCTCGCTCACGAGCGAGGGCGGGTCTGTGTTGAAACGCTGCTGTCAATCAACAATCGTGGGAGGGGCGTCCGACCGTGTGACGTCACACGGTCGAACGGCTCGATTTGAGGCAGGGGAAAACATATAAGGAGATTAAAAAAAAAAACACTGGATGGATTTTTTTATCATTTTATGATGGTTGTGTACAGGCACTGCCAACACACATTTCAGTACAATCAACTTGTAAAAGTGCATGTACCATTATATGACCCCTTTAAACCACTTTTAAGAGCTTCTCGGTGTGCTTTTTAAAAGTACAAGTAATAAGGACTCTTTTCTGTCAGACGCTCATCCGTGCATCTCTGTGTTGCAGTGATCCTCGGCCGCTTCATTAGTCAAATCTTTACCTTCAGTGACTTCAAATAATGCTGATTCCCAGATGTGGGAATGAAATCCAATGGGGAAACTAATAATAAGTCAGTCTTTTCAGGAAAGCAACGCTATCATTTGTGTTCATTTCGCTAGATTACTGTTGATTGTGACAAAGTATATTTTGAAATGATAATTCCGGGAAATTGAGGTTATTCGGGTGTGTTTTCAGAACTGGTTGACGGAGGGGCGTGAACATGGAAGATAAGCTCACATTTTACAGGATGTAAATTACATTACACTTAATTATTTTGCTTGATGTTGATATTGTTGTAAATAAAAGTTCTATTTAAACGTGACACGTATGTTCTGTAGTTTGTGCGTACCTGCTTTTTTATTTTGATGACAAATTTGTACCAAGAAGTGAGATAAATCTGACAAAAGCTCCTTTTGAGAACACTTATACTTTGAGGACATGTATAAATAAAGGTGTTGGGGGTCATTTTAATTGTAAAAATGGAGTAAGGTTTTGGGTAGGGTTTTTTTTTTTTTTTTTTTTTTTTTTTTTTAAACAAGCTTTATATAAAAACAATACAAGTGTATGGAATGACCCCATTTAAATAGCTGTGTGTGTGTGTGCGCTCGCGCTCCTGGTACATTGTGGGGACCACAAAGAGTTTTTTTGGTCAGCATGAGGGAAACCGCTATAAATCATACTAAATTATGTTTTTTTAAAAATGCAGAATGTTTCCTGTAATGGGTAGGTTTAGGTTTATGGGATATAATATACCGTTTGTACAGTATAAAAACATTGTCTATAGAAAGTTCCAGACCGAAACCCAGCGTGTGTATTTGTGGTCCTGGTAAACCCTACATTATGGGGACAAAATGTCCCCACAAAGATGGCAATTTTCAAAATCCTTGTCCTCAGGGGATAGAATATACAGTTTGTACAGTATAAAAACTCTTATGTCTTTGGAAAGTCCCCATAAAACATGAAAACGTGTGTGTGTGTGTGGTGTTCAGGTATCCCTTATACATTGTGAGCAAAAAATGTCCCCTTAACATAAGGAAAGTAATACCAGAAATTTCATAAATAATATCAAACCAAATTTTTTTATATATATACAAATCCAGAAAGTTTTCTGTGAGGGTGGTGTTTAGGGAAAGTGTTAGGGGACTGAATACACAGTTTGTACAGTATAAAATCCATTTATATGGAAAGTCACCATAAAAGATGGAAACCTAAACTGTGTGTGTGTGTCTTTAGGTAAAATAAAGTTCACCATGTTACCACTGAGGGGCGCTAGAAGCTCAAATGTCCCGCCTCAACTATAAAACGAACTTTATTCTTGAAAAATGATTGTCTTATTAATAGGCTGGAAGCGGTAAGTATCAATCAATGAAAACAATGAGCATAAGGATTTACTAAAAATTGTAAAAGAGTAGCTTTTTTAGCTATAATTAATTTAAATATCTCGCACTGGCCTGAAAACAACGTGTTCTTAAGTCAAAGCGCGTGCTGTTAAGTTGATGTTCCAGTGGAAAAGTTGGCTGTATAATGTGTGGCGCTATGTTTAAATGCGCTAGGTTCTTATTAAAAGAAGCTTTCGTTGTAGTATGTGGGAAACTATACAGAGGGAGTGAGAGTTCCTTGTAGTAGTGGGAAGTTCGGATCATTTTACTGACTCGGATCTTTGAGTCTCGTTCAGCAAAATGAACGAATCTTTTTTCGAGTCATTTCGTTCATTTCAGCATAATATAATTAAAATGGCATGTTAAATATCCCAACACATCTAGAACTTACGAAAATGTTGATTACATTTGTAAAAAGAATAAAAATAAATTATAGGGTAATGCAGCCAAAGCCAAATTATAAGAAACCGAAATTTTTATGAATTGATTAGTTGTTGGGTTTTAAGTTCAGGCTATTGCAGTCTGATTCTGTTAGTTCACCTCACCTCCTCATCCGAGACGTTCTTTCCTTTGCAACTTCATATTTATCAGGTTTGTTCTCCTCCTCTTGTGTCTCGAGACGTTAGTTGTCGACTCGTCAGTGTCTGACTCTGATCTGCGCTGTCTGCTGGGCCGTGCCGTGTGTGATACAGCAGGGCCGGAAAGAGTAATGATTAGTTCATCTTTCGAGTCTCGAGTTCGGGTTCGGCCGGGTCCGAGTCTTTCGTTCTTCCTGTCAGTCCCATAGAGGCTATGCTGTCAGTACCGGAAAGAGTAATGATTAGTTCATTTTCTTCGAGTCTTCGGGTTTGAGTCCTTCGTTCTTTTGTCACGTGACCGCTGGTATCTCGCATCAAATACAATATTAGATTCGTATTATTGACTGCGTCTGAATGTATATTGTTTTATATTTAGGAATTAAAATACAAAATATGTGAAATAAACATTATCTGAAAAATAAAAGTTCCATCTTATTATTGTCCCTGTCCGTTTCTTTAAATGTTTCTTGTGCATCTGTGGTGTGTTTTATTATAGCATTATACATTAATTAACTACTATTATATTATACATTAACTACGTGCTTGTTTGTAAAAAGGTTGTGAATTAGTAGGCTATTCAATACGGTGACACGTCACGTGACAAAAGAACGAAGGACTCAAACCCGAAGACTCAGAAGATGAACTAATCATTACTCTTTCCGGTACTGACAGCATAGCCTCTATGGGACTGACAGGAAGAACGAAAGACTCGGACCCGTCCCGAACCCGAACTCGAGAGAGATGAACTAATCATTTCCAGTACAGATTCAGAAACCATATGTTGCTCAATGCGCATGCGCGATCAACACAAAATGAACGAATCACTCTCTGAGACAACTCGGTAGTCCCGAGTCATATTAAAGATTCGTTCAAAATGAACGAATCGTTCATGAACGACACATCACTAGTTCCTTGGCCGTGTTCCCGGCCCATCTGCAGCCCGGGCTTGCGGATTACTGTTTGTTAATGTTTCAATCAGCTGTGTGCCGAGGAATGTGGAGCGATTTAACCTGAACTTCCCCAGGTGTGCGGCGGCGCCGCTCAGTCTGCGCCCTCCCCTGCCCTTGGCACAAAGCGATCACACAAACACAATCACACACACCGGCCGATCCGAGCAGAGGCCTGCAGCTGCGAGCATCACACCGCAGGGAAATGAGAAAAACATTGCACCAGGGAGACGGAATAAATCTTATAACGAACTGCCTTCTTCTCGGAAAACACTTAACCCTTCCGCTACCCGTGCTTAAATACTGGGATGCGTAAAAAGAAGCGGAATTACAAACTTTAAAAAAAGTTTGACAATATCACTATAGCTAAAAATAACTTGAATAATGAATGAAGCAATCCTTAACCAATTAAAATGCTTTATTAATTAGCATATACATTTAAATAATTCCAATTTCATTTTTCAATGGAAAGATTATAATATCTCCTCTTGTAAACTATTGGCCTATTTTCTATTTATTTTGCCTTTTGTTGATGTCATATTTATCAGATATATGGCCTATATCTTATATAGCTGTATTTGCAAACTGAAGTTGTCTGTTTTTCATTTAAATTTTCAAACAGATGAAGCCACTAAAATGTAGCTAATGGCTGTTTTTATGTTTCATTTACTCACTAAATCACAGTTAAAATCTGCAGTGATAAGTTCACTTTCAGTTTAGCTACTGACAAAGTAATTCAAGTTGAAATTGAGAACTCAATTTAATTGTAATGACCTAAATTGTGTAACAATGATGTCGTAACATGAAGAAAACACGTTACAGCAAAATGTTTAATGTGTTAACAGGCTAAATGACCTTTAACCTTGTGAAACCAACTCATTTTAAATGGCAGTAAAACTGACCAAACTAAGCTATTAAAAAAAAGGGAACTCAATTCAGTCCAACTGTCATTCATTCCCACAAACAAAAGAGATCAAACAAGTCCAAAATATGTCTCATTTTCTTGTTTTAATAATAAAAAAACAATATACATTGTAAAAAACACAATAAAGCATTCACATCATATGTCATTGTAATATACAATACATTCTTTCGCTCAGTAATCTGAGAAAACATTTACAGCAAAATAGAAGATTTTCTAAAGACTTAAGAAAACATTGGAGAAACTTTGACCGAGAGGGAAATGCATGAACTATAAGTGAATAATCGCCATGGATTCCACAGCTTTAACACACACAATCGGTGTGTTTGGGAAGATCTCAGAGAGCACGTCACAATTCTCAATGTCCACGGGGTTTTGTGGCTCTCTACTGAAAGTTGTTTTCCTCTACAACAGGAGAATGAGTCTCTCCCTACACAGTTCAAGGCGTCACGGCGGTTCTGGTCCATCATCATCATGATCATCATCGTCACCTCAGCGCACCTTGTTCGATCCACGCGATGCTTCGATCAGTTGATGTGAAACCGAGAGCATTAGCTTTAACGGCACATGATTCTGTCGTCTGAACAGCCGTTCTGCAAGACAAGAAGGGAAACATCATGAGTCGAGTCATTTACACAGACATTCTTCTTATGAATGGATCATTTAGTTGAGCATCATAAAGTATCATATATAGCAGCTAGCCTGTTTACCTCGACGGAGATGCTGGCCAGTTCCGCGTTGAGCGTCGTGAGGGGAGTGCGGGGAGCGGAGCTCTGGTTCTTCTTGCTGTCCAGCTCGACCTGCAAGTCCCAGATGTAATCAATAACGTGCTGCAGGATCTCCACCTTGCTGGCTTTCTTGTTGGTCGGCAGCGTGGGCACCAGCTCTTTCAGTTTGCTGTAGCAGCTGTTCATGTCCTGCAGAAACATGGTCATTTGCTCGTCCAGCAGCGGGATCTTGCATTTGGTGATAGCCAGGCTCTGGTCGGAGAGGCAGCGGACAACATCTTCGCCGCTATTCAGCGCGCAGGTAGGTCCCACAACTTTCATTTTGGCTATAAAAGTTGACGATTAAGTCAAAGAGATTGAGTTGAAGCGATGTGCTCGTACTCCTTTAGGGTCTTGAATCGTCGAGAGTGCGATGACAGTTCACCACATGCTAACAGTGTCGAGTTGTTCGTTATTTAAAGGATTGTGGGCGTCACCAAACACTCGTGTTTTCAGGCCTGGGCCAATAGGATTTCACCGGAGTCGCGAGCGGAGCCAATCACGGCGCGGCTCTGTTATCGCAGATACAATATGCTTGGGGGATGGTGTTACAAATGGAAACAAATGTGTGTCTTCTGCGGATGATCTGTGGATATCCAGCTGTCCGTACTCTCCACAGGTGAAGCAGACACAGATCAAGCGGAGGGTGGGGGTGCTCGAGGATCATCAGGCAACAGTTATTACTTTCCAATGAAACAAGCTTTCTTCGTATGTGGGCTGCGTCAAGAAACAAAGCACACTGTAAAATGTTTCATCAGCATCTTTGTTTCCATCCATTTAACTTGCCACAATCATCTCTGTCATTATACTGCACGAAATGTGAACCCTGAACACATGTACATGTTCATAATGCAAACATATTGTTTCAAACGTATTTTTAAGTAGGCTACACACACAAAATCGTTTTATAGAAATATTATGATTTTTATAATAAAAGGTTTTCCTTTTTAAATCAATGACATTTACACATAGTCATAAGTGTCTAAAGTAATAATCTCTGTTTTCTCGTCACATAACAACAAAATGGCTTCATGCATTTTGGTTTTGCCACACTGATTTTGATTTGGTTGACAACGTTTTTTAAACGGGCTATTAAAAGTAGGCTATTTAAAAACAAAACTGCCTTTTTAAAGGAATAGGCCTATGCCAAACTACTCATGCTAACATGTTGCTTTTCAAGAATTTCAGACTGTTAAATGGGAGCAGCAGTGAAACCAAACTTTCAATTGTTTTTTTTTAACAGTGCATTTTTAACCCATAAAAGTTATACATTAATAAAATCGTTGCTTAATATCAAATAGACTGGGCTTATTTGTTTTGTGGTTTGAATAAAATCTGATAAAATCGTGATTTAACAGGACATGATATGGATTCAGTGTTTTAATACATAAGACATTTATTGTGAACTGTTGCTAGAGGTTGACATGCTTAATGTTATTGATATTATACCTTTACATTTTCGTCAGCCTTGCATTCAGTAGCATATAAAGTATTTTGTATTGTATATAAACTATTCATAGTCCATTATCCTACAGTAAGTGCAGATAGATTGTAGATAGTGGCGAGGTTTATCCTATTGTGCAACCGAGTCTCGCCACAATCAAATTTTTATTCAAAAATGTCCTCTATCTGTTCAATGATTGTCTCATTGTCTTTCTTCGAATGTGTTTCCTCGCGCAAACTTCCAAATTCCTTCATATGTGCGCGTCGCCTTGAGCGCGAGCGCGCGCACTCACATAACTTTGCATTGCTGTGCTCTGATTCTTCCCCCAGATTGTCCAAACAAACCGAAGCAGACTGCCGGGCGCCAGCGCCGTGACGTCACCCATTCATTCGAGCCTTGACGCCTGTCAGCCTGGCGCCGAGCGGGCGGTCTCTATAGCAACAACAAACAACAGGCTAGCATCCCTCCACTCTCCCCCATTCACCTGCGCGCTGCGGAATCCTGAGAACAAACTGGTCAGCGCTCATTTATCACTTAAAACCTCTGATGCGATTACCGCTCCGCGCGCACCTGCAAACTGCCATTGTCGTCCCGCGAAAGACTCTTGTAAAGACACAAAAAGTGAGAGACAAAGTGAAAAATAGCCTATTGAGCCAGAGGGTTGGTTTTTTTTAGATTCCTGGGAACCTTTTATTTTGTTGTAATTTAAAAAAAGTTAGGCTAACGTTAATTGTTTATTTTCGTCCGGATATTTTTAAAAGTTAGGCTATTTCAAAATACATTAGCGTTTAATATGAACTTTTTAAGGGTCATGTTTTAAAAATAAAAAGGAATTTTTTAAATTTTATATCGTTTATATATATATATATATATATATATATATAGCCTATATATAAAGCAAATATGCATTTTTAATAATGTGGGGAAAAAAAGTTTGTCCACTAAATAAAAACTAAAGATGAAAATTATGAAACAGATAGACTTATTTGCGATTTAAATGCACTATTTTTTATAGTAAAAAATACTTATTTTTTATTCGTTTTTAAAACAAAACCTAAAAACACAACGTGCATGAATGTGTGCACGTTATTTTTTACCGATGGCTCGTGCACATAGCTGCTCATCATGCAGGAGTTAGAGGGACTGGAGCGTTTCTGGCTCAGTCACAGCTGAGCGGGGTTGAGGGGAGGTGGAGGAGGAGCTGAACAATGGGAGTGCAGTATCGGGACTGTGAGAGAGAATCTCGGCTGGAGCCGACGAGTCTGGAGCGCCCCTCCACTCGCTCATCCCGCTTTTGTTCAGCTGCGCAAGCTATCAGCACTTCCTACCGACTCCAACAATAAGCCCTCACAGCTGGGCTCTCCAAAGCCTGTTTACTGCACATCAAGGCAAAGAGAGGCAAAGAGTGTAACATCCCCCTTACACACACTCACACACCCTTATGAACTCTTGGTAAAATATAAAACATATTCCTAGAAGTGGAGAAAGGAAGTTAAAAGAAAAAAGTTATGCTTTATTGTTCGACGACCTCATATGCTGGACACTGGACAGCGATCACTCCTTTTTATTTGTTCAGTAAAACATATATAATCTGCATCATGTGTGCCTCGAAGACAGAATTAATTCACTCTAGTATTAATATATATTATTCTGTAAAAATATATATATATATATAAAAAAAAGTTGCTGCCTTAAATTTTTAAGTACAATCAACTTGGATGTTTAAGTCATATCAATTTAAATACATTAAACTGTTTAAAAAAATGAGTTGACTTAAAAAATTAGTTGTTATTGATCATATTTGTTTACAGTGTACATATAGGCTATTTATTATTTATTAATTCATCCCTTCATTGATTTAGTGTCAATAATTTCACACTAATGTGTAATAAAAAATGCAGGTGAACTTATGAACATAAACACGCATGCATATAAATAATTTATTGTTGTTCTTGTCCTGATTCCACCCTGATCTTGTCAACAATGACTGTGTTCTCACAATATGTCATGCTGCAGAAAAAGCTGGTGCGGGGTCAGTGTGAATACTCTTCTTCTTCTTCAAGCATCTGCATGTATCTTTGACTTTCCCCTCTCATGGGAAGAGTGGCCTCAGATAATTGTCCTCAAGGGAATCACATCCTGTCAGAAGTCATGTGATCGCTGTCTGACAAGGCTGCAGTGTTCTGTGCTGTGTCATCAGCTGGCTATGAAGTCTTTAATTCACAACATCACAGCTACACAAAGCAGATAGACACAGAAAGGAAGTGCTCAATGCAAAGCGCAATATAGACAATACAGTTCACAGAGAACAGGCATAAAATGACCTAATTAGCTTGTGTGAGTCATCTGACATTAAGTTAACGTCAATAGCTTTTCACAACACATTTGACTTCCGTAACATGACGTATTTCTGAAACAGGGCAATGAGGGGAAAAATGTAGGGTGGGAATTGATTGGATGGTGGCCATTAAATACCAGAAAGAAGCCAAGATAAAAGCAAGTTTGCTTAATAGCTGGACATTGGTTAACATATTCCAACCGCCAGCGAGGCCTAAGTGGAAAAGTTGTGACATTTTACAGTGATTTTGTTTGTTGTCTGTAAAAAAAAAAAACACTGCAAAAAAAAAATATGATCAATAAGTTATGACAACATATGTTTTTACATTGCTTTAACGCATCAAAATAAGCTAATTTTAACTTTTTTATGTTATACAAGATTCAGCTATTTTTTTATGTCAGTTTAATGTAGTTGAAATGACAAACATCCAAGTTGATTGTACTTAAAAATGTAAAAACAGTGTATTTGGGGTGTTTATTTTTTTAAGGTGTACATTACCAGTTAATGCATTTCCTGGGAATAACCATGGCATTGGTAGCGCCATCCCCTACTGTTTGAGCTTCAGATTTTGATCATTTTGATTAATTTCGTTTTTGTCTTTTGACTTTAACATCTGCATGAAATGGAAAATTGAGTCATCTGTTGAGTCAAATGCATGCTATTGCTCTTATTGCGAACAATTCATCCATGCACGTTTAATTTTTTACCGTTTTTTTTCCACCTCGTAATTCTGGATCTTCGGGGGAAACGGAAGACTTCTCTCTGGTGACGTATGCAAGACTTCTCCAATCATTTCTGCCAACCCTTTCATTCAATCTATCCTCCTCCATCCAATCAACAATTGATAGGACCCCCACCCTACATTGTATTCTTTTCAATAATCCATTTCACTGGATATTCATCACAATATGGAAGAAATTATCAGTCGCTTCGTTACATCGCAACTTTAGTCAAAATCCATTGGTCTATAGCTGGATTTACTCTTTTGAGATTTCAATACATCCCAATACTATTAGATACTATCAGATATACTCTGATTGACCTCATAATGATATATAGGCTAGCACTCCTTCCTACATAGTGGTTCTGTGGTAGCATCTTGTGAACGCCGATCTCCCCGCTCGCCACACACTTTCACACTCCACATTCTCCGCCTGGCTCCCACACACACTATCAAAGTGCCTTAATGGCTCCTAATTAGCTCCCCATCTGCTGGTGACAGAGCACCGGTGGCATGCTGAAGCCCCATTCAGAGAGTGGCCATTGTGTCCCAGGATCGTTTCCACTCCATTGGAGATTGCCTGGAGAGGACTTGGACCTCTGGGAAGGGATGGGACAGGAGAGCCAGGGTTACGGAGAGAAGCTCCGGACTCCGGGAGGCGCACGGGACAGGACGGGGGAGGAGGTGGATACACAATGGGCGACAGTGTTGTGGCTTGTTGCAAATCTAATAACATCGGAGCTCTTTCTGTCCTCTGGATGCCCTCCCCCCGCCACCCCCCACGCACACGCACACAAACACATTTTGTTTTCCTCCTCCTTTTTTTTTCTCATGCTCATTGGCGACAGCTCTGCTTCTTCGAGTTAATCTGTGACTGTGTCATCTTCTGGGAACAGACGTTTG